TTCGGGCGCCCTGTCTGGTCTATACCTTCCCTCGTTCTCTACGAACTTGGTGAGTGGTGCAGCCCTACAGGATGCGGGGGTTCACCAGTTCACTCCTGCGAGTCAGCGGGTGACCCACTGCACGGACGCACACATTGGCCGACACCTGGCCACCTTCTCGCGTCGGCCGGGGTCGAGTCTCTACACCCTGACCACTTCGTCTCCTCCTGTCCCTTCGTCCGGTCAGGTAGCTGCGTCAGGTCAGGTGCTTGCTGCTGCGTCCCGGTCAGGTCCTGAGTCTGCCCCCTGTTCTTGTCGTCTCCTGTCTCACGAAACTCTCTTGTGGCACCACCGTCTTGGCCACCCCTCCTTGCCCCGTCTTCGGAGCATGGCTTCCCGTGTCCTTGTCTCTGGTCTTCCCCGGTCTCTCCCTCCTCTCCCCTCCGGGCCAGGACCTTCCTGTGTCCCCTGTGTCGAGGGTCGCCTCCGGGCTACTCCTCACTCCTCCCACTTCCCCCCGACAGAGGCTCCCCTGCAGACGCTTCACATGGATGTGTGGGGCCCAGCCCCCGTGCGTGGGCAAGGTCACGAGCGCTACTTCCTGTTGGTGGTTGACGACTACTCGCATTACACCACAGTCCTCCCCTTGCTCAGCAAGGGTGTGGTCACTGAGGTGCTGATCGACTGGATCCGCGAGGCTCGTCTCCAGCTCAGGAAGAGCTTCGGCTCGGACTTTCGTGTTCTGCGTCTGCACTCGAACAGAGGCGGAGAGTTCTCCTCTCGCCTTCTGCGAGACTACTGTCGTGCACGGGGGATCCGCCAGACCTTCACGCTTCCGGACTCTCCACAGCAAAATGGGATTGCTGAGCGCCGCATTGGCATGGTCATGGATGTCGCTCGTACGTCCATGATGCATGCGGCTGCCCCCCATTTTCTGTGGCCGTTTGCGATGAGGTACGCGGCGCATCAGCTCAACCTTCACCCCCGGGTCTCTCGGCCTGCGATGTCCCCAGCCTTGCTGTGGACAGGGAAGGTTGGCGATGCGTCTGTGTTCCGTGTCTGGGGATCTCGGGCGTTTGTCCGCGACTTGTCTGCGGACAAGCTGTCCCCTCGTGCTGCTCCCTGTGTCTTCCTTGGCTTCCCCACTGACGCCCTAGGGTGGCAGTTTTACCACCCCTCCTCTCGTCGTGTTCTGTCCTCCCAGGACGTCACGTTCGACGAGTCAGTCCCCTTTTACTGTCTCTTCCCCTACCGCACTCCTTCCCTCCCCCCTCCCCCGGACATTCTTGTGCCGGTTCCCCCCCCGGTAGACCCCCTCCCCCCTCAGGTTCCTGCCCCCTCAGGTGTGTCCCAGGTAGACGCCGTTGACCCGGTCGAGGTTACTGGTGACTCTGGTGCTGCTGCGGGTGCTGGGCCTGGGGGTGCTGACTCTGGGGGTGCTGTGCGCGGGTGTGTTGAGCCTTGGGGTGCTGGGCCTGTTGGTGCTACTGCGGAGGGTGCGGAGCCTGGGGGTGCTGAGCCGGGGGTTGCTGTGCCTGGAGGTGCTGGGTCTGGGGGTGCTGGGTCGGGAGCTGCTGGGTCTCGGGGTGCTGAGCTGGGAGCTGCTGAGCGTGGGGGTGCTGCGTCTGGAGCTGCAGAGCCTGGGATTTCACCTGCTGCTGCGCCTCGCCGGGAGCCCCTCTCTCCACAGGAGCTGCGCGAGTGGTTCGCTCGCCGCTTGGAGACGTGCTGCTGAGTCTGGGGGTGCTGCTGGAGCTGGAGCTGGAGCTTCTTCGACCGTCGGGGGTGCTGGTGCTGCCGGTCCCGGAGCTGCTGGGCCTGCGGGTCCTTCTGGAGCTCGAGCTGCTGAGCGTGTTGGTGCTGAGCCTACTGCTACTTGGTCCTGCCGCTGGAGGAGTGGGTGGCGCTGGTGCAGTCGCTGATGCTGCTGGTGCTGTCCCTGCTGAGTCTGGAGCTACCGCGCGGCCTCAGCCGTACTTCGTTTCGCTCCTGCAGCAGGTTCTTGGTCTTTCTCCTCCAGTTGAGGGTCCACCGCCTGCCCAGTCGCAGTCCCTACTGGAGCCTTCCTCTCCACTGCCTGCTCCCTCTCCTTACACTGGTCCTACTGGAGGTCTTGCTGAGCGTCGTGAGCCTGCGTCTCGTCCCGCGTTGCCTGTTCGTACTGCTCGCGCTAGTGGTCGCAGTTCGCGTCAGCGTCCTCCACCTGTCCCTGGCACGCACCGGATGTCTTTGCGTCCGTCCACTGCTCCCCTGCGTGCCCCTTTGCCTTCTCCTCCTGAGTCCTCTCTTCCTGCGCTTGCCGACCCTGAGTCGGACTCTCTTCGTGCTGCCAGTCCTACTGTCACGCGTCTGCTTGCTACTGTCGTCACTGACCCCTCTTTTGAGTCCTCTCCTGCGTCTGCTCTAGTCGCTGAGCTCGTCGACTTTGCTGCCCGCTGTTGTCTCGACTACGCTGCTAGTCTTGTTGCTGAGTCTGCGTCTGTCTGTCCTCCGTCCGTCGGGGGTGAGTGTGCTCTTGGCACGGACGTCCTAGACGACAGGCAGGAGGAGTTACAGTGTCTAGCGGCTGCTTCACCTCATCTCGCGTCTGTACTGCTTGCCCCTGAGGGAGACCCGGATGCACTAGACATCCCGACTCCGCGCTCTTACGCGGAGGCCGTAGAGGGTCCCTACTCCTCTCAGTGACAGGCAGCTATGGATGCAGAGATGGCTTCCTGGAAGTCCACAGGCACCTACGTTGACGCGGTTCCCCCTCCTGGGGCGAACATCGTCAGTGGCATGTGGATCTTCAGGGTGAAGCGGCCGCCGGGCTCTCCACCTGTCTTCAAGGCGCGGTATATTGCTCGTGGCTTCAGTCAGCGGCAGGGAGTTGACTACTTTCAGACCTTCTCTCCCACCCCGAAGATGACCACTCTTCGGGTGCTGCTACACATAGCCGCTCAGCGCGACTACGAGCTTCACTCTCTCGACTTCAGCACTGCGTTCCTACAGGGTAGCCTACACGAGGAGATCTGGCTGCGCCGTCCACTTGGCTTCACTGGGACTTTCCCTCCTGGCACCCAGTGGAGCCTCCGACCGCCAGTCTACGGTCTCCGCCAGGCACCACGTGAGTGGCACGACACACTGAGGACTACGCTTGCGGCTCTTGGGTTTGCTCCTTCTACTGCTGACCCGTCGCTGTTTCTGCGCACCGACACTTCTCTGCCGCGGTTCTACATCCTCGTGTACGTCGACGACTTGGTCTTTGCCACAGCGGACACTGCTGGACTCGCCTACGTGAAGTCCGAGCTGCTGAAGAGACACACGTGCACAGACCTGGGTGAACTGCGCAGCTACCTTGGCTTGCAGATCACTCGGGACAGAGCACGCCGCACCATTACCTTGACTCAGTCACACATGGTGCAGCAGGTCCTTCTTCGGCTTCACGTACTCCTCGCCTCAGGCCACTCCTCTGCCTACTCGCCACTCACTCTCAGCTGTGCCTTCGGATGAGTCCGTAGAGTTGAGTGGTCCGTATGCAGAGCTTGTTGGCTGCCTCATGTACCTGATGACCTGCACACGACCTGACCTTGCATACCCTCTGAGCATTCTTGCACGCTATGTTGCTCCTGGTAGACACCGACCAGAGCACATGGCTGCAGCGAAGAGGGTATTGCGCTACCTGTGCAGTACGTCGGGCATGGGGCTAGTGCTTGGAGGGCGGAGTCCAGTGGTCCTTACAGGCCACGCGGACGCTTCTTGGGCTGACGACCAGGCTGCGCAGCGGTCGTCGCAGGGTTACACCTTCAGCCTTGGTTCCGGCTCTGTCTCGTGGCGGTCTACTCGCTCGTCTTCGGTTCTCGGCTCCAGTTGTGAGGCTGAGATCTACGCCGGGGCCATGGCTGCACAGGAGCTTCGCTGGCTCACCTACCTGCTGACTGACCTTGGAGAGCCGCCTCGTTCTCCTCCAGTGCTGTACGTAGACAACAAGGCCATGCTGGCCTTGTGTCGAGAGCAGCGCTTGGAGCACAGAACGAAGCACATTGCTCTCCGCTACTTCCTTGCTCGTGAGCTGCAGCAGCGTGGTCAGTTGCGACTTGCGTACGTGGCCTCTGAGGCCAACACTGCTGATGTGTTCACCAAGGCACTTGCGCCTTGTGACCATCAGCGCTAGGCAAGAAATGGGGCGCGTGACGGGCAGCGAATAGGGCGCGCGTGGGGCAGCGTACGGGGCGCGAGCTACGCAGTGATTGGGGCGCGCGCAGGGCAACGTATGGGGCGTGTGAAGAGCAGTAACCAAGGCGTTTGACGGGCAGCGAGAAGGTACGCACTAGAGGCGAGCTACGGGCAGAGGAAAGGGGCACGCTCTTAGAAAAAAAACGGTCCTAATGGACCTCCCTGCTCTATACCATGTTAGAATACTAAGGAGAATAGTGGCGATTAGGTTAAGGGGGAGGGGTACAAGAACAACATCGAGAGAAATTTTGTACCCCCTAATGCTAACAACCATATAACCTAAAGCACATAAGCATATATGTTTTGACAACACGGTGAGTTCCTACGGTTTGAGCATTCTACAATACATAAATTATTTCGGAACCGCTTCTTACATTTCTAGACGTTCTCCACCATTTTCTCTGTTGCCCGAAGTCGGGTGCAAACTTGGTAAGAGCTGAAGTAACGCGACATGTGGACACACGCATAGATTCTCTGCCTTCTTGCCCGAACAACGTTCAAGCAACTACACCTTGGCGGCTACGAAGGCGCGCTCGGTCGACCAGCAAAATATTAGCATAGCAGAGGTGTCGTCATTTGCAATTACTACCTCCTATCAAACATCTACTGCCTGTTATTGTCATTTCCAACCAACTCGGCATGATCAACATATCCACTCCAACCTGCTGCACATTACCTATCCACATCCCCACTCTCACTCCTCGCATAGCCCCTTACGCCGCTACCAACACAAGCCGAATCCCCACAGTTCTCCTACTTCCCCACTTCGCGCCCCAAAGGCCCGCGCACAGGCCCCTCGCCCGCGCTCAAGCCCCGGAGGCCCGCGCCCGCGCTTGGAACCGGTAGCCCGCGCCCCTTCGTCCGCAACCCTCACCCGCGCCCCTCACCCGCGCCCCTCGCCCGCGCCCCGGCGGCCCCGCCCCTGGCCCGCGGCCCGGCGGCCCGGCGGCCCGCGCCCCTCGCCCGCGCCCCGGCGGCCCCGCCCCTGGCCCGCGGCTCGGCGGCCCGGCGGCCCCGCCCCTGGCCCGCGGCTCGGCGGCCCGGCGGCCCCGCCCCTGGCCCGCGGCTCGGCGGCGCGGCGGCCCCGCCCCTGGCCCGCGGCCCGGCGGCGCGGCGGCCCCGCCCCTGGCCCGCGGCCCGGCGGCGCGGCGGCCCCGCCCCTGGCCCGCGGCCCGGCGGCGCGGCGGCCCCGCCCCTCGCCCGCGCCCCGGCGGCGCGGCGGCCCCGCCCCTCGCCCGCGCCCCGGCGGCGCGGCGGCCCCGCCCCTCGCCCGCGCCCCGGCGGCGCGGCGGCCCCGCCCCTCGCCCGCGCCCCGGCGGCGCGGCGGCCCCGCCCCTCGCCCGCGCCCCGGCGGCGCGGCGGCCCCGCCCCTCGCCCGCCGCCCGCCCCTAGCCCGCGCAGTGGATTTACGAGCACTGGAGCGTTGGTAAAAATTAGAGAGCCCAGATTCACTTATTGAAATAATGACGACGATGGCCTTTCGCCATATTCTAAACATTGGAGGGTCAGCTGCTCTAGCTAAGGACGACGACTTTTCGCCATGCTCTAAACATTGGAGGGTCAGTTGGTGTGGCTACGGGCAGCCATATAGGAATGGGTCCTGCCTATACGTAATTAAAAAAAACATATCCTTCCACTTTTCGCTTCTCCAAAAAGTAGCATAGTCTCTCTGGTGCTAGGCGCATTTCTTTCAGTTTGACCATCACGAGACAAGGTGAAGTAGTAAGTTGTCAGTGAGGTTCTTTACGCTCTTAGTGGAGAGATGCAGATGTCAAGCGTATCAAGATACTTAGCACCTAGGAAACTAGGTTTAGGCTTAGGATGCTTAGTTAAGAGTAGGAGCTAGGGTTTAGCCTTAGGCAAAGTAGAAGTGCAAGTGAACGAAAGAATGGTTCAACTATAGAATGAGAAGTACAAATAGAGGAGAAGCATGCAAGGAGTGGTGCACCACCAAACAGGACAATATTGGGACTACACTACAGCTAGAACTACATGCGCTTATACAAAACATATATCAAATATATTCTGACACACCCCCTAAGTGCATGCAGGAATAGCCATGTGCAAAATACCCCCTGAAATGGTACACCCTGCAGGGCGCAGTAGAGGAAGAGGCGAAGTGAGGAGGAGGGGGAAGAACTGTGAGAGAAGAGGCGATAGGAGGCGGCTGAAGCTGCAGACACACGGGCGACAGGAGCGGCTGGCACAGTCGCTACCGGGACAGCGCCCCGGACTACTGGGGTAACTGGCTCAGCGGCTACAAGGAGCGGCAAGAGCAACGGACCCACGGGCGACTGGCACAGCAGGCTCGCTGGGCTACCGAGAGCACGAGGGCCCGGGACTACTGGCGCTGCTGGCGACACGACGGCTACCTCTGTTCAACTTCCCCCATTGCCCCACACCCCCTTCTACAACACTAGAGCCACTCCCTCGGCTCCCCCACACTCCCTCGGCTCCCCCCACACCCTCCCCCTCTCAGCAGCAGCTGCAGCAATGGGAGAGAGAGAAGGAGGAGGGGCAGCTTACACCTGCCACCCCCAGCTCCCCCACACTCCCTCGGCTTCCCCCACACCCTCCCCCCCTCAGCAGCAGCTGCAGCAGTGAAAGAGAGGCCACCCCTATACCCTACCCCCCACTGCCGCACGCGCAGCATGGAGATGAAGGGGAACGGTAGGGGGGGTGGGCGGGGGGGCAGGGTAGGAGGTGCGTGGGCGACAGCAGGGCGCGGTGGCGGGCAGAACCCGTCGAGCGTCCAAGGCGCGCGACGGGAAGAAACCGTCACACGCCCGGGGCGCGTGACGGGCAGAAACCGTCGCACGCCTGGGGCGCGCGACGGGCAGAGAACCGTCGCACGCCCAGGGCGCGCAACAAGCAGGAAACCGTCAAGCGCCCGGGGCGCACGACGGGGACGAAACCGCCGCACGCCCGGGGCGCGCGACGAGCAGAAAATTGACGCGCGCCCGGGGCGCACGACGGGCAGAAAACCGACGGGATCCAAAATGGACGGGCAGAAAAACGGGCAGAGGGGCCCATGAGCGGAAGCGTAGTAGGCATAGGATCAAAACACTCTAATACTATATCAAGATATTCAGCACCTAGGAAACTAGGTTTAGGCTTAGGATGCTTAGTTAAGAGTAGGAGCTAGGGTTTAACCTTAGGCAAAGTAGAAGTGCAAGTGAAAGAAGGAATGGTTCAACTATAGAATGACAAGTACAAATGGAGGAGAAGCATGTAAGGAGTGGTGCTCCACCACTCAGGACAATAATGGGACTATAGTACAGCTAGAACTACATGCACTTATACAAAACATATATCAAATATATTCTGACAAAGCGTTGACATTTTTTAGTACCTGGAGCCTCAAGCCTGACAAGTTGGACTTCTTTGACCATCACCAAAGGTTGCGCCACCGACGACAGATGGATACGAATGAGAAGGCTGTGAGCACCATCAGCGCAAGCAGGGAATATGCATACTTGATGGGTTGGGGTAAGGGGAACAGAGGGACACTGGGGTCGCTTGATCCGCGAAAGTCCAAGATTTTTTTTTTCTTCGCAGCTTAGACAAATAGATGCTAAAGTATGTATCAATGATAGATTATCAATGGTGTTGAGGAAGCAATGGGGAAATCAATGTTATTCTGTCATCTACTGGTACGAGGTAGGAGCTAGTCACAACGACAGTCGGTCTTCTCAAATCGCCCTTCGAACGTTTAGCATAGCACTCAACAGGCGAAGGTATAGACCGCGCGTTGGTTTAGACGTATAGTTGCGCGCGCCTCGCGACTCCCAAACACACGCACCACCACCAACACACACACACACACACACACACACACACACACACACACACATACCAGGCATCTACTAGCTCACATTCCAAGTGACGCGCTTCTCTCGTTCCAGGCGTTGCCTAGCTCATGTTCTACGCGTCGCGCATCTCACATCCAGGCGATGCACATCTCGCATTCCAAGCGTCGCGCATCTCACATCCAGGCGATGCGCATCTCGCATTCCAGGCGTCGCGCATCTCACATCCAGGCGATGTGCATCTTGCATTCCAGGCGTCACGCAGCTCGCATTCCGGGCAATGAGCATCTCGCATTTAACCAACTTGTGCAGCATATGAAAGTTCACATGACACAGCCTTGCGTGCCACGTCTCCCAATTGGCCTCACCACTCCCAGATGAAGCCTTTGCCCATGCAGCTGTCGCATCCACACCAGCAAGCACCTCACCATGTAACTGCTGTGGTTGCTGCACCTTCTTGATTGCATCCAGGGCCCCATCAGTTGGTGCAGTCTCCTCTCCTCCCGTAGTTTCCTTTGCCGTTACTGCTGCTGCTGCCGTTGTTGGAGGTTTCCCGTTTCAAGGGGTGATGGGCAGCTGCCATAGGTCCTTGATGCAGCTGCTCTTCTCCTCCAAATCCCAAAGCAGCAACTTTCCAAGCTATGCACTGCAGCTGGTTGGGCCGAACGTAACTTTGGCCTTGCTTTTCTGCAGCCGGCGCATAGAGAGGAGGTTAACGGACCAACCTTCAACCAGCAGTACATTCCCAGGCCCCACAAGCTCCTCTTTGACTCCCATCACCTTGGCATTCCCAACACCAATCACACGGAGCAAAGCACTTGAAAAGGCAGCCACAAACTTCATCTTCCCAGGGAGCTTCACCTCATCAAGCAAATCTGCCCAAGGAGTCATGTGACTCGTGCAACCTTAATCGACCACCCAGTGAGTGAGGGGGTGCATCACAACCTTCCCAACCGAACCCACATCATTCTCATTCCCTTTCACATCTTCAACCATAAGGAACATCCTAGGGTCGGCTTTACCTTGTGTACCTACAGCGCCACCTCGTGCACGTTCACCACTTGGCGGCTTCATGCCTGGGGGCATGAAACATTTAAACCATGGATTTCCAGCCTTCGTGCAATACCAGCAGGCACCCTCCATTCGTGTGCTCCCCATGCCACCAGAGTTCCCATGCCCCTCATTGTAGTCACCTCGGCCTCTCCCTCTGCTAAAGCCTCTCCCACGGCCTCGGCCTCTCTCTCCCCCTCTTCCTCTACTGCCTCCTGCAGCTCCATACCCCTCAGCAGTTTTGTTGGCAGCACCACCTCCCGTGTGGCGCATGCAGAAGTTCTCCTGCAGGATCTGCTGCCGTAGCCACCCAGGCGTCCACTTGTCCTGCTGAACGTTGAGGGTGGGGATGAGGTTGTCCTACTAGTTGTCGAGCACCGCGATGATCTTCGTGCATTGCTACATCCGCGACACATTGCTGCCCGCCGCTGCCATCCTCGCATATGTATTCTTGATCTTGTCAAGGACCGGCTTCACATCATCTCCCGATTGCATGGAGATGGCTGCCAGCTCCTTCTCGAGCACGACCACCATGGACAGCGTGTTAGGCTGAATCGCGTCGCGCAATAGCTTTCACGCCTTTGGACCGGAGTCGTCCAACTCAACCAAGTCCTTGATGTGCTTGAACATGTCGTTGTTGACCGATTGCAAGATGAGGTCAAACAACACCGTGCTCCGCTCGATCCACCGCTTCCAAGCATCTCCTTCCTCAGGAATTTTCTCTTCTCCCATCGCAAGTTTTAGCAGTTTTTAGCACTTGAAAAGGCTCCTCATCCGCCCGCTCCATTCCTCGTAATTGGAGCCATCCAGTGCCTTGGATGGTGGCGGCTCGCTTCTCTTCTCACCTGCTTCTCCACTCCCTTGACTCATCTCCTCTGCTCCCAATCACATGTTCCCGCTTCCCCTTTATTGTCCACACCGAAGTCCCACACAAATTCCACAAGTGTTGGCGCCAATGAAATTTTGGCAGAGTTTCCCCTTAGCAGAAGTCACATCCAACCTCTAGAACTTTACTTAGGCACGCCCATAGGCCATGGTGGGTCTAGAATGGTCATCACACTTCAGTAGACTCCCCACAAGGTCCTTAATCGGCTCTGATACCACTTGTTGGAGGCCACAGACGGAGTCTAGAAGATTTAGGGGCCGAGATATCTCAAAATCGTTGGTCTATAACTCTGGACAGAGACGTCGAGTTCACAAGAAACGCCATCAGTCAAAACTTCATGAAACTCAGATATGTAGTAGTGGTCTGTGGTTACAATTCTCAATTTGAATTGTTCATAATATAAGGTCTTTCTTGAGTTATGAATTTGGGCGCACTAGGGGGTATGTTGCCATAGATTGTTCACTCAATCACAATTATCTCACAAGTTCCACTAACGAGGATTAGAGTAGCAATGACCAGGTAGGAGGGGATGAGGAAGACAAGAGGAAAGGTCCCAAGAGAGTCCCTAACCAAGGAAACCCCTTACCACACAATTCCCCTCTCTATAGGCACCCCAACTTTGACATTTGTCACTTTCCCAACCTCCTCAATCCACCTCATCCAAGTTGGCCACACTTGCCAACCCAATTTGATTTCTCCCAACCACTTGGCAGCATCTACAGTGATGGGGACAAATTTCCCAACCCCCAAAAGTCTGTACCCCATATTGAGTCACTTCACAACTTCCCAAAGTCGTCGCATCCCAATCAAAACTTCGAACGATTATAACTTCGTTGTTCTTGCTCCGATCGCGGCGATTCTTGGTAAGTCGGAAAGCTCTTGAGCAGAGGAGTCACTTCAGATATCTGTTCAAGCCAACTTACATTTACACATACTCAGAGCATCCAAACCACACCGA